ATATTCCAACTGCCCCGTCGCAATAGTTGCTTTTGCGGTCGCGAAAGTGAGCTACAAACTATCGCAGAGCTATTGAACAATACTAAGAATGGTTGTTCTGAATCAGCAATTTGCGGTCTCGGGGGTGTTGGAAAAACATCTCTTGCTGTCGAGTTTCTCTGGCGACAGAAAGACAATAAGGAATATCCCGGTGGTATTTTTTGGATTTCTGGCGAAAATAACAACCTTTTTCAATTGTCTGTCAGCGAGATGGCACGTCAAGTTGGTACTTTTGATGACGAAGACTTTTCCAATTCGCTGTTAAGAACCTTGGACTGGCTGAGAGTGCGCAAGCAGCTGTGGTGTCTAGTGGTTGACAATCTGGATGAGTTAGAAATGTCCATGGATATGCGGAAGTTGCTGACTGGTCATTGGAAACAAGCTGCCCGTGGTCATATCATCATAACCACAAGAAGAGAAGCAAAGGAAATCGGAGAAGAAACGGGAATCAAAGAAAGCTCTTGTATTGAGTTGAAGTGCTTGACAGAGAAAGAAGGAGTACAGTTTTTACGAATACGAAGTGAGATAACCGGAGAAGATGATGATTTTCGTAAGCTATTCCAAGAACTTGGCGGACTACCTCTGGCTCTTGATCAAGCTGCAGCCTATCTTAGATGTGTCCCCAACTCGACTGTTAAAGAGTATATGATAAAATTTAAAGAGAAGAGATTGCTTCTTCTGGAGAAAAAGGAGGCTCGCCTTCTGGTGGAATATACACCCCGAGAGCGGTTGGCTGTAAAGACGACATGGCTGTTGAATTTTGATCACATAAGACGCATCTCAGAGGAGGATGACCTAGGAGAAATCCCTGTTCTTGTAATGCACATTTCTGCTTACCTTGGTCCCGAAGACATCCCTTTTGAAGTGATAAATGAAGAACTGAATAAAGTGGAAAATGCAGAAGCAGCAGGCGATGGGTGGGACTCCGGAGGTATTGTGTCGCTTCTCACCAGGTTTTCTCTTTTCCAAAGGTGTGGAACGAAGTCTTTTAGTGTACATCGTCTAGTACAAGAGGTTATCCGAAGTGAGATTGCGAAAGACAAAGCTGAGTTTCGCGTCCTTTCTTGTGCAGTATGTGCCCTCTACCGTGCACTTGTGGACACACGCTCGCCAGTGGAAGTTTGCAAAAGTTTCTCTGGGGATGCTGTTTTCAGCGTGGACAGTCCTCCTTCGTTACATCTTTGGGGTAGGCTGGCTTCCCATGCTACCTATCTGCAGGAGCATTTGCGCAGCTATTCCAAGAAACATGAAAATGACGCTGAACGCGTGCAAAGCTCATTGCTTTGCACTGGAGAAACTGTCCGAATTTTGAATGAAGCCGGGATATTTTTTAGCGCTTCTCACGAAAAAGTCAAAGCTCAGGAATTGCAAGAAATTAAACTTGAGCTACTGGTGCACCTTGAGAAATCAAACCCTGGCGATAATTTTAATTTACCAAATTACTTCATTGATGTACCTCTGAAAGAAAGAGAGTACAAAGTAATTTCTTGCTGTATGAGACGACCTGAGGAGGAAGCCGTTGCGGAAGAAGATTCTTCTCGAAAAAAAATGGAGGAAAAAGCCAACCAACTTAGAGAAGAAGGAAACGTTGCTGCAAAAAGAAAAGCGTTCAAAGAAGCTTTGGGTTTTTATACTAGCGCGATTAACTTGCCTTCCAGTGACTCTCGACTGTACTGTAACCGAGCTCTGTGCCATTTGAAACTTGGACAGCCGAGGAATGCACTGGATGATTGCCAAAAGTGTCTTTCTTTAGATCCTTATTACAGCAAGGCATTGCAAAGAAAAGCTTGGGCTTTGCGAGAACTTGTAGCAAGTGGACAGAATGAATTGAAAGGACAAGAGAAGGCTGCTTTGGCAATGGCTCTTAACTTTGATCCAAGTCTTCGCCATGACAAATTATTTTGTAAAACGTTTCTAGACTTTGAAGACGCACGAGTTAGGGAGATAACCAATGCAACGCAACTGGCGTTTGCTTTGGCCACTGCAGAGAAAAATGAGACCCTCTTATTGCAGGAAGGAAAGTATCATCTACCTTGCTTTGTCGTCACTTGTGATGTGCAGATAGTAGGCCTTGGAACCATATCTACCTCGTTGATTTGTACAAACAGATGCGAAGTGATTTCTTCCAGCTGTTACTTTGAGAATATATCATTTCCTAAAGGGAACAGTGCTTTTCTCTGCAGGGGTACGAAAGGAGCTATTCACGTTAATCGCTGTAAGATGTCTGGAGGGCAAGCAAGTTGTAAAGACTTCCCAGAATGTAACGGAGGTCCAGGATGCATAGCAAGATCAAAAGGAAGGGATGCTTGTGATCGGACTTACAAATTTGGAGAAGATGTCGTGTCTGAATTTGCTGGCCGTCCTGGAATTCAGATTATTGAGCAAAGTGTTGCACTGATTGAAAATTGTATTATTCGCGACTGCGGAGGAGGAGGGGTTCTCGTGGAAGATACAGGTTCACAGCTGAGCATTAGACGATGTGAAGTCTACAATAACCACCAAAGCGGCTTAGAGGCAAGAGGAGGTGGAACAATTTATGCTTCTGAAAACAGGATATTTAGCAATGGCTTTCATGGCATCCTGATTGGACCAAAAGCAGAAGACTGTTTCATAGATGATAATAAGATCTTTGAGAACGCAAGGGAGGGCATTCTCGCCACGGGCAATCAAGACAAAGTAGTCTTACAAGGGAATGATATTCATCACAACAGACCCTTCGGAATTTCATTGGATGACAATTCCGAAATTTTAATCCGGAACAACAAGATTTTTGAAAATGGATTCTGGGCCATTCTTGCAAAATCACGAACTTCCGTACACATTGAGGGAAATGTCATCGCGGCTAACAAATGCGGAGGGATTTTCATGGGAATCAATTACTCAGGAAAGGTTGTAATTAAATCAAATACTTTTCGAGACAATTATGGCCCTTGGCTGGAGTATCAAGACAAAGTTGAATCGCTGAATAGTTATAGAAAATTGTGGCAGAACCCTAAAGTTGCCGAATATTGTGGCATCCCTCGTGGAGAAGGAGAGTTTCATTCAAATCCTCCAATTCTCATTGGAAACGTGGAAGATAACAACAAAGAAGGGGAACACCACCCCAGAGAGGTCACTCAACGACCACAGAGTGGATGCACATTTTGTCGTCGTTCAGAAGATGAAGCGTGTCACTTGATGAAGTGCCCCAGTTGTCAAATTGCACTTTATTGTAGCGAGGAATGCCAGCGCAAACACAGACCCAAACACAAGGTACTGTGTTTTTCTCTCAGGAGCCGCTATTCTTTAACAGTCAAGATCATTCCGTACCAGGTCCTGCCAGGAAAGGTCCAGGAGAGAGAGTTTGGCAGTCACTTGATAGGTATCGGAGAGGGACCTAAGCTAAATCGTAAAAGTTGTGATAGGTTTATCATCAAGATTCAAACTAAAAATCTCAACAGCCACCCATTGCAGTTGTTGACTGTTTACGACAAGAGCCTGACAATAGATGGCAACATTGAAAGTCCGGAAATCTTTAATATCATTATGGAATGTGGAGTTCTTGGAGGCCTACACAAATTTACAAGTAAAAAAGTCTTCTTTTGGGCCATGTTTGCGGATGGAGGAGAAAAAATCACAGTTTTCCTAAATCAATTTGCCCCTTTTCAGCAGTGGTGAGGACTTCAGCGAATGACGTTTAGGGTGTTTGCTCAAGAACCTGGTAAAAACAAAAGTTGTGATGATTACGCAAAAGAAGTGGTTTAACCCGTAGGTGGATTTGTGCAATGACCACCTTCGTCTCACCAAGTCATCCTGACAAAAACACTTGATGTCATTTCCTCTCCGTCTCTCTACTCAATCATTGGGACATGGGTTTTCATTGGATGGGGGCGCCTAGCAACCCTGATAACCTACTCAGGAAGAAAAAAATAGACAGTGGCTACTATAACGTCGTAGGAGCGTGGAATTTTGTCATTTCTGAGCGTTTGATTGGTAGATGCTGCTGTAGTAAGATATCAACCAACCAAACTAGAGGAACAGACCTAGTATGCGAGGAGGCTATTTTGCGGCAGAATATTTCGAGGTAACAGGAGAGAATAACCTAGTAAATATTTTAGTGTAAGCAAACCGGTATGCCTTCAGAATAATTAGCTAGGGTGATGGTCAAGAAATAATCTTGCCATTATTTCTTGAGAAAACCAACAGTCACTTGGAGGTTAAGCCCAGAAACTGAACTTGTGTTGTCTTTAACGTCAATGCCAACAACCCTGATGCTGTCATGTCGGGAAGCCAATGACTATCGCAATTTACACATGAGGCAGTTTACAAAAGCACCAAAATTCGCAATTTACATAAGAGGTACTAAGAGATAATTTTTACTTGCCGTGACACTTAACTCGGCCAGTACAGTGTGCAGTCAGTCAGTTGTTTCAATAAGTCAAGACGGCCATTTTAATTAGTAATGTTAAATTTTAGTGTAAAGTCTTCTGAAGAGAAGTACCCCTTCATTATGGGTAGTTTATGAACAACATAAACAAAAACAGTACTAGTGAGTGTTTCCTTAAGTTTCATTGAAGGCGTCGATTCACCAAACTAAAAACTTTACAGTTGGATTGTGACACCGTACCGCGCAAACTTTAAGCAGAAATTGAATTTCATCAATTTATTCAATGGAATACGTAAAACATGATCAAAGAATACAAATACACAAAGATAAAGCTATTTTTTGTGCTTTTAAAAAGACTCTTGCAAAACAACTTGTTACAAACTCTTACGCAAACCTTCATGTCTTACATTTGAGCGGTACTGTAGATGAAAAACTATACATTTGCATCAGTTGAGCAACATTTCACCAGACACGTGCCTTTTCCTTTGACAAGCTTTTGTCTTAAAAAGATTCAAAATATGACTGTAGTCGATAGATAGATAGATAGATAGATAGATAGATAGATCGATAGATAGACGTTTATTTAAAAAAATAC